TTGACTTGYRGGTGAAAGGCGTTTCTATAGGGAGAAATTGCAATAGCTTTTAGGACCATTGACTACTTTTGATCTATAATTAGGTGTAGAGGACAGAGAGCCTCTAAGTTAAGAACACAAGCTCAAGATCACAAGTTGACTCATGGTCACGAAGCTATTTTATATTCTCTGAAAGTACTGTTGTGAAAACGTGTAGTGTGAGAGTTATGTCCACTTCTAAAGAAAAGGGCCAGTCTTTCCTGTAGCTTCAGAAAGCCTCAGTGGCTAAGGCTGGTGAAAATCAGCCAGACTTACACCCAAAATGCTGCAAAGCTTGCTGCTGGTCTTGAGGCCCTCTGCAGATGAGGTGTCAAGACTTGCTCTCATCTGTATACTGGAGCAATATAAACCAACTGTTTTTTCATTTCATACTCACTGTAATAATTCTTCATCCCTCAACTTTACCTTGTCTAACCACCAAAGAGGATAATTCTGCTTAATTTATCGATATACCTAGTAATTGATTGGAGTAGTTGCTGTTGATTGAACTGTATGTTTGCACTTCTCAATTTCTTTCTGTTTTGCAAGATTGCTACAACAGATGTTAGTGCTGTCACTTATTTTGAGATTATTTAGAAGCACCCAACAAGAGCTGTACTTCTGGTCTATTCAAATTCAGAAGTTGGCCTGTAGCTCTGACTTTTTCTTTGGATTTTACCAGGGCTTCTATGAATTAAATAGGAGAGAGAATTGATACTTTAGTGTTTCCAGAGTTTGTTAGCATCTTATTTTTATCGATTCAGACATATTACACTTGCCTTTCAAGTGAGGGTTATGGTCTTGCAGGGGAAGACTTGACAGAAAAGCAGATGCAGTTGCATTAGAAATTTCTTTGCTGGTGTTAAATCAATGTATAGATATCTGCTTGCTGCATTAGCATTGTTGGGAGGAAGCTAAAGTGCAAGCACACAGCTAACTGGAGTCAGTTAAACACATCGCTAAGGTTCTTCATGACAATTTTGCTGAGTTACATAGGTACAGTGTTGTTTGTAAAGCTTCCAGCTAGAACCTTCCATAATGTGCTGTTTCCTAACTTTATTTTTTTATTGAAATGTATTTGTAAGTCAAGGTGGGATAATTTGGTTATTAGGTTTGCAGATAATTTGGTTATTAAGTATGTAGATTATAATAACCTGCTTTGTTTTACTGTAGCTTTAACAAAATCTRTCTGCCCAGACTGAGCTGTCCAAACCTAATCTCAAGCAGATTTATTTTTTGAGATGTTTAGCCAAAATAGGTCATTCGCATCCAAGAATGAGTCAATTCAATAATCTTTCTGATTAAAAAAAAAAACATCCAAAAAAACCTTCAAAAAAACCCAAAGCCCCAATGAACAACCACAAACCCTAAACCTAGGCACCACAGAATTGAGAAAAAGCTACCTAAAGCTATGAATGGATTTGGCCTTTAGTTGTTCCTTTGAAATCTGCTCATATTTAGCAGAGCAGTRCATCTGTGAAAAATTGCAGTGCATTTATGCTTAGTGGTGATGACTTCTGTGCTCAGCTGTTAAAATCCCCAAAGGCTCTGTTGCTCAKATTGGAAGGTTTCTCCCCTAAACCGCAGCTTCCAGCAGAAGCAAGATGCACTRGATCTGGTTAAGGGACAGGAGAAAAGTACTGCAGGGGGCTGTTCCCCCTGCAAAAGGGGCTGTGGGGTAGAKTGTAGGATGTTCTGGGGGTGGYCATCRGMTGGGGTGGGATGGGRTGGKGGATGCTGTGAAAAATGGGAGGGGAAATGCTACTTGAGTTGCAGTGTGACTGGAGTGGGGTAAGGGGCAGGGATAGGATAACCCTGGAAATGGACTGGCTCTTGTTGGGAGGGAAAGAACTGGGCAGTGGAACCAAGAGGAAGAGCTGAAGCAAAACAGAGATGAGGTAGTGGACTGTTGCAGGTGTGCACATGCACCTTGGGGCCCTTGAACACTCTCTTGGAAAGCTGGATTCTACCTGCTTCATTGCTATTGGGATTCTKAGGATGCTGTTTATTTCTCACAAATCATYCCTCATTGGCTATTTTCATTATTAWKAATATACAGCTTAACCATGAGGTTTCAGAGCCATACAAAGCATTCACAGAGGCTGCTGAAGTCTCTCAGACCTGAGCCTTGGAAATACAAGGATGTAACAGTAAGAACAACTAATCTTTGACATCTTAAATTGATTGTCAATAAACACAYTAATTATGGACTATTCAGCAGCTAAAATCAACAAGATCAAAGCTCAGTGCATGTTCCATGAGTAGCCACTTGTCTGTGAGGTCAGTATTAAAACCCAAGAGGCCAGAACTGCTCTATGTTGATTCAAGCTTGGCAAAACATAAAGGACATATACTGCATAAAATTTACATGCAGTAAAATTTGTCTGAGCATCAAGATGGAATGCTGGTTGGAGTAGATGATTTTTGAAATTCATTTCACTTGCTTTCTTGGTTTAATATTGTTTTCATTGATTCCAGGAACAAAAAATTCCATCACTTGTGCACTGCCTTTGTACCAGGCAGCCAATGATGTCACTTTTATGGGGGTTAATCAATTTGCATTAGCTTTACTTTAGCTATCATGAATAAAAATAATCCTGCAGGTGTTGCAACAGAAGTTTGGTACCGACTGGGGGTATATTTTGTTCACTATCAACTGCAAACTCCACACTGCTGCATCTCTGCAGCTGTTGCTATATGAACTGGCCCAATTAAAGCAGTGAATGTTTAGCTACGAGGTATATGGAAGTTAATTTGCAGTCTCTGCATGGTTTAAGAGCCTCACACAAGGAGATGATAGTTCTATTGATAGTTCACATGAGCAGGACAGCACTGCTTGGTGCCTGAATGTCACGAGTTAAAAGTCAAAGGGCAAAGGATTGGTCTCCCTTAAAGCTGGTGAAAGCTTTGCCATTGACTTCAATAAACAGAGGATTTCTCCCTTATTTCTGTAACTTTGCTTAGGAGGGAAATTGTCTTGTACTTTTAATTCTCGTAGCTTCATCAAGAATCTGTATTCCAAGAGGAGTTTTTAGGGTKTTTTTTTAGTTTGATAGTGTTTTGTGGGAAACTAAATTGAAAGTGTATTTAAGGGCCCCAGGGACCTGCTCTGGTGAACTGCATCAGGAGAAGCTGAACATCTGCTTGATGCTCGGACACAGCTTTAGCAGAACTCCTAATCATTCAAAAGAAATTGCAGAAAATCTGTTTGCTTTTAAGTTTCAAACCTCGTCGCTCGACCTTTAAGTTTTAATGTCCTTACATACAAATTTTTAAAAAAGTAAAAAAAAACTCAATACAGAATATTTACCACCGAGGTAAAAAATATATAAAAGAGGGAGAGAAAGAAAATCAAGCAGTTTTGCAATTTTAGGGAGGTGTTACACAAAGGAAAATTCAAAACTGAGTTCTGGAATATAACAAAAACATGCATCATACGGACATGAAGATGTTTTAACAGTGARTGTGTTGTCTTAACAGACACTGGTTTATCAGTTCTATTTCACATGTGAAATAAAATGGACTTTATAGTAAATAGATCTTTTTAATTTCAATTAACAATTTTTTACTATAAGGAAAATGTACAGAATTTGTATGGAAATCCATGTACTAATTTTACTCAAATACAGAAAATAATTTGCTGCAAACTTTTAAATATAATAAAATGCATTTAATAGCAATCTTTTGTGGTATCATCATTATTTATGAACATAACATTCAAAATATGGAAATTCAGTCGTGGATCAAAATGATCATAAAAACAGTAACCCGAAGAACCATATAAACATGTCAACAGCCATCATTTATCCTTGATGGCTTATATCAATGTAAAAAACATATAAAATGTAGAATAATTCTCAACATATGGTTTACTTTGTTGCATTGCTCCTACATATTATTAGTGTTAAAATCCAGAAAATTATATTATGAAGAGAATATTGGGGTTTGTTTATTAAACTAAAGTACAGGTTAAAGTCATTCTTTTCTTGTGATGAACATATACCAACAGTGATTAAAAAATAAACATTTATTTACAAAATATTGATGCATACATATTACACAAGTCAGTTATATCAAAGTGGTTTTTAAACAATATCTGTAGCAACCAACTATTTGCATTGGTTTACCATAGTGCAAATGGTAATGTTGCAAAGGCAGGTTAAAATGTGGGATTGCAATTTGAATGCAGGACTTCTCTGCTGCCTTCTGTTTTTCCATGTCTAGAAAACTATTTTCATTTAAAAAATGCCTATTTCTTGCGAATGTTGTATAGTGTACCTGAGGATAGGGCAAATTCATTATTAAGCCTAAATTCTTTCACTTGTATAACTGTCTTTCTGTTTACTCAGCCTGCTTACGTAGCACCATTGCCATCGATTACTAACATACTAATGAGAAAAAGGAATGGAAACACGCTAAATACACTATGCCATCCCTAATTTCAGGCTTTGTCCATTTATGTGGAATTTCMTCTGAAACATTTCACAAGTCTGCGCTATATATTCAAGTGTTTAAGGATGATTCTGATGGTATTGTGTAGTGGTGTATATGTTACCAGTATATATGTTCCTGTAAATATGATACTAAGTGAAGCTGTGAAGAAAGGAACCTAAAAGCTCATTCCTTCTGTCCTCAGGTGAGAAGGAGCTTGCTTTTGATTACCAACGTCTACTGAAACCTGCATATAAATTTGCATCCGAATGACTGAATATTGATTCCCTCATAAGGTAAGAACTTCCCGTATTAAATCCGGTGATTTTGATTGTAGCTTTTCTCTTTTGCTGGATCATAAGCAGCCGTCAGGTAATTACATCGTCCTTTAGTTCACGTTCTGTAGCTGGTGCTGCGCTAAATCTGCACGGTAGCGCACAGGAGGTCGGCAATGCCTTGTGTACGTAACTTCACAGTTTGAAAGACTGGTGAGGGGGTATAACTTTTTCTTTTTTTTTTCTTTTTTTTTTTTTTTTTTTTTTTTTCCTTTTTTCTTGCTTCCACAGTTTGTGAAGCGGTGGATCTGACGAGGATCTCATGAGCACCCGCAGCGATCTACAACCATGGCTGGTATCTTGCCATAGATGATTTGTTCTTTCCCGTTGAAGTACAGCATGTTTATGGGGGACATCTTGGTGGGTGTGCAGCAAGGGCCTGCCGAGCCTCTGGGGTTGGCTTGGTGCACGAGGTGGGTGTGAGGGTATTTTTGTAAAAACACGAATTCACATTCTCCGGAGCAATAATTCGCTTTGTATCTTTTAGGTGCGATAATCCAATCCCATCCGAAAGCTTCAAAATCTACTGTCAGCGGGTAGCGACAACATCGGGATTCTGTGGAGTGCTCGTCACAGTCGAGACCAAAATCTCTGCGAGACCGTTTTGGTGTGTCTGTAACTCTCACCTCTAAAAATGGGTTCTGTGARGAGAGGAGAAAGAATTGGAATCATTTCTGAGGTAAGCCTAAGTTCATTAAAAACATGCAAATAATATTTCAGATGTAGGTGTATCAAATCAATATTCTGAAATGAAGTTTGCGAACAGAGCTTGACCTGCAATTCTGTTACCGTTGTCTCTTCATTTCTCTGCTATTTCTCTATCCAGAGCTTTGAGACTTGACTATTTTTCTCTGAAACCACCATTATCTCAGTGCTAGCATCATTTCTATTCTATCAGTCTATCCAATTGCCTAAATTGGATTCARGCTGTAAGAATGTTTCAGAAATTTGGAGGATGCTGGATTTTTACTTTAGATGTGKGTTTTGTTTGTTTGTTTATTTGTTTTAAACTCCAGTAAGAGCTATTTGTGAGTCTTTCTGAAATTCTCTCCAATAAAATCATATTGAGTTCAGAATTTCTGGATATCAGGAGAGGCTTTTTGTCCAGACCCAGGAGGACAGAAGTCATGCCATGCTTCAATGTCTCTATGACTGAATGAATTTGGAGGAGCAGCTAAATACTTCGACTCCTGGAAAGCCCTGTGGCCAGGAATGTGCTTTTGGCAGATCTCKGAGCCACGTGCCTCCTACTGAAGGTGTGTTTCCACAGTCACCAACTAACAYTAGAGGGAAATTGCAACCTTCAGTCATGAGTTTGAAAAAGTTCCCAAAGTTGCTCCCTTGTGCCCATGTGTTTTGGTACTGATGGAGCCATCCCATGAAGACCATTCCTAGGGAGTAAGGAACAGCCCAGCTCACTTTGTAACATAGGTTTCCCTCTCCCCAGATACCTGCCTCCATGGCTGTGAGCTGTGGAGCTGCTGGAAGTGCTCTTCCCAAAGATAAGTTAGATGGGGAGGCATCTGGTGAGAGGAGCAGCCTGTACTGCGAGCTGCTGAAGGGAAGAGATGAAAACTTTCCTCTCCTGTTATCAGCTGAGCCTATAACCCTGCTCCAACGCTGAAATGTTTATTTATAGATGATGATAGCTGTGGGTTATCCACATGTATCATCACTTGAATGGATGGAGGTGGTGAGGACATTCCTTATCATGATATCCAGCTGGCCTGTTTCAAGTACAGGAGGTCCACATTTATATTGGATGTAYAATAAAGATGTCACAGAGTTTTTCTTTTAAGCTCTTTTTAATTATATTATACTGCTGTGAAGTTAAATTTTGCATAAATATGGTTRAATGCAATGATCTTAAAGGTCTCTTCCAACCTAAATAATTCTGTATTTCTGTGACCAACAGATTCATGTACTGCATAGAAGTAAAAGTAGAATGATATTCTTCATACTTTATTCTAAAGGAGGGATTACTTGGTTTCGATTAGTTCAGAAATTTTTATAGATTGTATAAAATTATTAGTGATTTGCAGAAACAAATAGCAAGGAAAATGCTGTAGGTTAAATGGTGCACTTCAGKTTTAATTTGTCTATCTCTGCATATAAAAACAAACCCGATAGTTATTTTATGCTCTTTCTCATGATTATGACTCAGTTACTGTATCAAGCAGAATTTCTCTATTCAAACATTTCTAGGAGGGGGAATGATTCGCTCTATCAAATACTGAAAGGTAAAGAATATTATGAAGATGATCTCAACTTCATAGACAGATAATTCCTGTTATTATTAATAGAAAATAATTGCATAGAGAATATGTAGGAGCTCCCTTGCCTTTTCAGCAATAGTGGAGATAYCTTTCCTATCAATGAAAGAATCTAAACACTGTTCTTTTAGCTTGATGTGAAATAGCTGCTTATTAAGCAGTATTTGCTCTCAAAATTGATGTTACTTTGATAGGATCGTCCATGAGTAATTGCCAAAACCTTTTCTAGTTAGTGCCTCTCAATGTCTCTCTGAAATGCTGCAATTTCTCTCATTTTTTCTAATGGGGAATTGGAGGCAGAGGAATGCTGTTGATTTTTGGCATGATCAGAGRGCRAAGAATGAAAGAATTGGATATACAGAACTTTTATCTTCCACTCTCTAAACAATGCATCCATTTTCTCCTTAAAACAGAGCTTAAATGCTTTTCAGTGAAATGGAGTTTTTCTAAATAGACTTACCAATCCATCTTCACCCGGTCCTGGGAAAGTCACAGCAAGATTCCGTCCATTTTCATCAAAAGCTTTTATTTCGATGCCTAGATTGGATTCAGGCTGTTTGAGCCAATTTTGCAACACTGTCTTCACATCAATACTCTGCCAAATACCGGTGCCTGGGTTCATGTCAAGTTTCAAAGATCGAATTCCAGTATATCTTGTACCATCTTTCATGGGTTTAATAAGTCTCAGGATCTGCACAAACACCGTTGTAGGTTTTTGGACTTGCCTCAAGTATATCCACAATTGTGCCTTTACTACTTTGTTATACTGGATTTTAGAGCTAAACTTAAAGAAGCAACATTTTGGTTTTCCCTCCATTTGTACAAGAAAATCAGCTATAAATGAATGGAAAGAACAGATTACTGAACAGGGAACAAGAAAAAAATGCATACATAAACCTGACTAGTTTTTTTCAGACTGTATAGGAAATATCACAATATGTTCTAAAGAGTACCAGTGGCAAAGTGGATTTAACTTAATTCATTTTCTATGGTTTATACTCAACAGCAACTTTAATGGATGTCAACAAAATTATTATTCTATCCTCTACTACCATCCACTTCTGCTGGTCACCTCCTGAGGACCTTAAAAAGCATGCAGGATAGCATAAACTGACTCAACATGTGTGTGGTGATCCAGCAATTTCTAACTTACTCCAAAGTCTCACCCTGCTACAGACCACACAGCTCTGGGCAAACTGCACAAGCACTTAAATTTCTTTTTTCAATGGGAAGAAAATAATTGAGAGGATTAATGCGAGGATCATTTTGTTTTCATTTGAATAATATTAGAGGAAAGTCACGTGCAGTGCTGCGATCCTCCTTCCTGTAGCCTACGATGCAGCTGTCATACCTAGTCATGGCAATATCTTTCCATGCCAGGATAAAATGGGTAGTACTAATCCTAAATGGTGCAGGGCTTTAACATTCATAAATCTCATCACTTAAGATACCTGTCTCCTTAGTGCRTTTAAAATAGCTCAAGGGCTTTTTATAAGAAGTAGGAAATGAACTCAGAGCAATGAAATATAACGATGTTTCTTCAGTCACTGTAACTCTGTAGCAGTTTGATTAAAAATAGTTTAAAAGCCTTGAACATAATAKGCTGGAGTGCAAGTGCAGGCAGATGTCAGCTTTGTGATAAGGCTGCAGTAAAATAATGCTATTAAGTGCCCATCTTATTAAATAATAAGTTGAAAAATTTCACTGGAAAATTAACTTTTTCGTGTATGGGTACACTTTTAGCTGGTGAGAGCAGCTGATACTTTTCTAGTCTGCCTATCATAACGATAACTGCTAACGTGCCTTATATGTCCTGTCATCTTTTTCCTTTTTGACATCATATTCATAAGTGTTATTTWAAAAAACAGCTGCCATAGCCAAATATTTTAGCTGATGAAGAACATAGGATACTACAGTATTAGCTGTGCAAAAGATACTTGATAGGAGCCATRGCAGATGTTTAGCACTGGGAAGATAATTCAGAATCTGCTCATTCAGTAAATGCCTTTATTCTTCCTTGGCACGACTACATGAGCTGATTGCTATAGCGCGGACATTTTTACATTTAAGTCTGTTACACACGTATTTGCTTTAAATATATAGTTTTAACTCCGAGGTGGGTGGTGCTAGTTTATGGGATCAGCAAAGAAGCAAGAATTTAACTCTCTGCTTGCACTTGCTGTAACGTGTTGCAGTTAGGTAGGTGTAGCGCTCTAAGMAGCATTGCTGTTGATTTCTATTGCCTCTCAAAATACTTGCTAACGAAACCACCCTCACAAAAATATAGTTCTCTCATTATCTGCACTTGCACTTTATATTTGTGAGAGGAAATGCCCCGAGTGCTGCAGATACAAAGTTGACTAAACTGCAGATCTCCCTTTGCTTTCTAAGGCAATGGGCAAATCCTAAGTGCTACAGGGCACACGCACTGTAAGGAGCCGAAAACCGAACAGCAAAACAAAGGATCGCAACACGGTCATCTGAACCTGGCTCAAATTCTTTAGAAATAACGCTCTCCTCCCTCCCTCCAGCAGACTTCAGCCRGCAGCCTGTTGGGAGAGCCCGAGGAGGAGTTGTGTGGCTCTACAGCAGGGAGACAACTCTCTCAGAGGAGCAATGGGAGGTGAAAGAAGCAGGGTTACTTACACTCTGTAGGCATTGTGATAATCGTTTCGGTGGTGGCATGATAGTCATCATCTTCCAAAGAGCCATCGCTACTGTCATCTCTCTGGACATCATACTGATCAATCAGTTCCTGCAGTGGAGGAGCCTTGGGTAAAAGTTGTTTAATAACATCCCTGCTAATGTTAGGAGCTTGTTCCAGGCGCAGTTTGCTGAGGATTTGAATTTTTATGGCTTCTATTCTGGAAGATTTTGTATTCTGTCTCCACGTACAAGCATTGCACAGTCCGTCCTTTTCAGCGTTCTCTGTAGGCTGACTACTGTCATCAAGAGCCACCGGGTCGACTGAAATCAGCATGAACAGGTAAATATAAGCATAGAGCGCTAGCTTTTGCATGATCTCACATTCAGTGCAGCACTTTTCCCTTCTTTTTTTCCCCCTCCCCCTTTCCCTTTCAGTACTAAACAGATCTGTGAAAGCAAATGCAATCTGAGAGACAGCTTGCCACACTGGTGTACCTTATATATTCCAAGGGGGCTTTTTATACTCCAACTTTGATTAGGCTCATGTCGTCAAACCCGACGATTGGTTGCTGTCCCAACAATGAATCTGGCTGTCACAGGGTAAAGCCCTGTCGATCACAAGTCACTAGACAGCGTTTAGTTACAGCCAAGGGTGAACTGATTTATCTGGGTACTTCGTAGAGGATATGCCTTCACATTCTGAAAGGATATATTTCCAAGTATTGCAGGCAGCAGTACTGAAAGACAGCACTGTCATTCTTAAATATTATACCAACTGTGTACTTGTACTATGAATCAAGAGAGCCCTTGCTCTAAACTTGCTTTCAGCTTCTACCAATCCTTCTGATTTGAAAGTTTGTTCTATTTAAAAGAAAATCCCAAGGGACTACTGTTGGCAGGCAGGAAAATAATACTTTAGAAATGGACTGTAAACAGTACCTGATTTATGTCGTTCAACAACTAATATATTCAGCAGTTTCAGAAAATCTTACTGGGTTTTCCTAGAAACTTGCTAAAACAGTATTGGAGATTTTGTGCCTCTCTGACACARTGCAAATGCCTCTTTTATTTGTTTGTCCATTTAGCAAATATGACAGAAAAAATCCTTTCCTGAATTAACAGTCAGTTTTGAAAAAGTAGTCTGTCCCYTCTTCATGCTGTCACCAGAATCCTAGGCAGTAAATTAAGTATCTTTAGTAGCAAAGGTACTTTTAAGGAATATGTTTAGCTACTCACTCTCATATTACACAGGAATCGTTCAACTTACTTTTTTCATCATCAGTGAAAGCACTAAAATACTTAAAATATTTTAATCTCTGCTCTGTGTCTATCTCCTTTGTCCATGTAGCCTTTATTTCTCTGCAAATGTTTCTGTATTAAGCCAAGTTAAATCATACCTTTCTGTGCTTTCTTTTGCTTTCTCCTCAAATACTTAGAAATTTTCTTATTCCTGCTTATATGTCAAAAATTACAGTTTTAATATGCTTTCTGCATAACAGAGCTACATCTAGGTGGGACTATACAAGTTATGGCTTATAAAATCTTACATTTGATCTTAAAATTAAATGTAGTTCACTTTGATGTGCTGTTAGCAATATTTATGGAACTCACACTTAGTGTGGAGAGTGGGGGGGTTGCTGCTCAACACAGGCTGCAATCACAGCAAACAGAAACCCTGGAATTGTATTATATGTATTTGTATATTTGGAACCTGAGTATTACAGCAAAGGAAAATCCTGGACTTTCATGCAATATGCCAAAATTTGCCTAAGCTGGGACTGAATTTTCAGTTTCTCACTGAGTTTCTKTTCTTTTCCCATTCTGAATACACCTAAAAATATGTTAGACGAGGTGTTTCGCATGTGTTCATGTAAGAAAAACATTGGTAGAGGTAAAGATGATGACAGAACTTTCAAAGATTAATTTTTTTTCTGCCTGGTCATTCATATTCTTTTTGTATCACCTCTCCAGGGCATGCAAATTCATTGTATATCACAGACCCGAGCCTAATATTTAGCTCCTAAACACTCATATGAATCACAAGTATTCAATTGAAATTGATTGTCCTGCCCTGATGTAAAGTTGATGCAAGTGATAGATGTATCATGCTCACACATTCCATGCATTTGGCTTTAGAATCAGACCCTGATATTCTGATTGTAGCCAAAAGTCATGTTTAAAGCAAGCAGTTTGCTGCCTTAGCTCCCGAGCATTTGATTTTTTTTCACAGAGACTGATGCAGCTACTCTCAACATGTGGTAACATAAATGGGCYGTGGTTCACTGGAACTAGAAGTCAGGATAGATCTGAGTTTGCAGTGCAGACTGCCAGCCATGCCTATAACGTATTTTAAACAGATTCTGCGTGCATTTCAATTGCTAGAAATGTATTTATATGGAAGATGCGTAGGATGATTCACAGTAAGAAACTTTCTGAGAAGCACTGACCTGAATTGGTGAATTTTGGGGGATTTAAATTGGGGCTTGTTTACTATTGTGAAAGTGAATATCATACTAAAATTATTCTTAATTCTTCTTTTATTTTAAACTAGAATAGCTTTACCAGATGGCTATAAAAGGGAACCTATCCCAAGTGGAAACTTTGACAGGTACCAGATTTCACACCAGAAACAGTTTAAGACAATGATCCATCAACAAACAGATGGAAATAATGGTGCATCATTGATACAAAAGTAATTGATAGTTCTGGCAGAGCATGGCTGGAAGCCACTCGTGAGGGAGAGGGGCAGGAGAGGTGTTGGGAAGCCTCAGGACCGTGACTCCTCTTGGGCTGTTCTCTGCAGCCACCCTGGTACCTCACCTGCTCCTCCTCCTGTCTGCCTTCCCACTCTGCCTAGCCAGCAYGAACATGCAGCCCTTCAGTGTTCTTTCCCCAGTCTTCTGCAGAGAGATTCCATTAATGTGCAAACAGGAGCCCCTTTGCTCTGTTTTGTGCAGCATTTGTTTATGGCTGCAGGACCAAGAGCCTCTCCTGTGAGCCTGAAACCCCAGAGAGCTCTGAGCGAGAGCTCAGCTTGCTCTCAGGTGACACTGGTGCCAAACAGATCCTGTGAGCACCCCTGTTCGAGAGCAGCTGGAGTGATGGCACTGCTGACTGAGGGTGACAAAAGCACCCCACAATTCACCAGCAGCTGCAAAACAGAGAGCAAGATTTTTCTATTTCCCTCATGAAATGCGTTTCATATGTACTCTGAACGACTCCAGGCTGTTAGGAGAATATCTTTAATCTTTTCAGGTTGGTGGCTTATTCTTTTCTCTGTGAAATTGCCAGAACTTAGGAAAGAACACAAAGAGTCACACTTGATCAGGAGCTATCGAAGGTTTTAATTTATTTGATAATAATAATAGAATATGTAAYATGTTTTTATGTCTGGCACTGTAGTGTTTTTGAAAAGTGGCAACTACAGAAATAGGTGATAGAGGGGAGAAAAATAAGTGATGAAGGGACCAGGTAAAAGTTGTTCTCAAATTTATTTGTCAAAAAAAATATTTAAAAAACCCCAACAACAGCAAAACCCTAACACATTATCACTAGCAAAACTACAGAAGAGTTAAAAATGAATGCACATCTTACTGAACTTTATGGCATTTTAATTTTATCTTTGGGATTTGTGTCATTCTACCCATTATGCCTGCCAATAGTGAATAGTATTCCCAGTCCTGACTATGCAAAGATCATGGCTCAGGCCCCCAAAATCAAGCAATGCAAGAATGTTGCTTTTGAAAGGAAGAAAGCATACATCTGTCTACCTGGCAACTTCTCCTCTCCTTTCCCCTTTCCATTGTAAGCTTTTGGAAAACTTCTTTAAAAAAATTAAAAATTAAAAAAAAATAAACGGAGAAAGAAGCCAAACCCACCCCCTACAAATCTGACTGATATGGAGGTTTCAAACACATGCTGTAAGTGCGAGTTCTATGGAAAAACAGTGACTGTGCAGAGGAAAGGAGATTACTAATGCCCTCCCTGAGGAGAAGGCGAGCAGAGCCCAAGCATTACCCATCGTTTTTGGCAGCTCTCGATAGCCAGGGAGCTCGTGTTCCTGCAGCAGTGCTCAGCACACTGCTCACCCTGGACCATGCACAGCCTGCCAGCCCTGCCCAGCCYGCAGCACACACARCACACACAGGGACAGCAGGCTGGGATCCCAGCCTGGGCTGGGGGAGGACCAATGGCCATGGAAGGGAACCAGGACATTTCTGAGAAAAGTGAGACTTACAGGACTATGAAGGAGCTGCTTTCCTGGCAGGGGAGGAGAGGGACATGGCTTATAACCCTGCCAGCAACTGGACGACTTCATCCTGCTGTAGGCTAGATTTTCAAACACTTCCTTACAGCCTGCAGGACCAGAAATGCACTTTTATTTATTCTGTTGTTTAAGTTAAATGAAATAGTTCTCATGATGGATTCACCTCAGAAGGTGGAACTTGAAGAAACAAAGCAGGTGTTGAAAAATGCACTGTGATTGCTGTTTACATTGATGTCCTGCCTCTGAACCAGTTGGCTTCTCTCCCTTATTTGCTTATAAGGAAGAGATAACATTCCTCCTGAGCTGCTGAGGAAGATACTAATTGAGTCAGCTTTTCTCTCACCTTTGTCAGCATAAAGCCTAATTTCCAGAATAGCATAATGAAATGGATAGAAAGCTCCATTTTAAATTTTTTTGGACTAGATTCATCTCTCTCTCGTAGTTGCTATAAGATGGAAATAATGTTTCTGAAGTTATTTTGTTTGGAACAGTTAAATTTGAATAGAAAGATGGTTGAATAGAAAAATACAAACATATAATTGAATGTCATGGAGTTGGATTGTTTCAAGTGCTTAACTATGAGTGCAGCTGTCTTAGCCCACCAGGTGCTTTCTCTTAGCCATCTGAATCACAAGAAAAATGCATTACTTTGAACCACAAAGTAGATATAAGACCATGTCTATAAAACATGTAGAAAGAACTCTTACAATTATAAAATGCCTAGGAAAACATCATCACAATTACATTGTGTAACTGCATCTACTGCAAGGCAGAAGTCACCACTTTTAAACTTGTTACCATGAACTAAAATATGAAAGCTGCAACTCATGTGAATTCTTGCTCTGTAATAAATGCCCTGAAACAGTTTGTCCTTTGCTATACTTTTTAAAATTTTCCTAAAAAAGTAGAAGACATTTTAAACATTCTGCTGTATCACCTGCTGGAAGTCAACGTCATTTATATTGATATTATGAATATTTGATTCCCTCAACTTACCAAAAAAAGAAATACTGGTAAAACTTGGTTTTCCCAGTTCTGAGCTCTAGGTGTCCTGTTTCACACAGGAGAGGAGCAGATGTGGCTCRGGCTATGGATGCCTTGGTACACTGGCATC